TAAATACCATTCCCAATAGTATTTCCAATACTATGTGGGATTGAGCATTACCAACATTCCCCCACTAATGCAAAAGAAATCTTCTGAAACTCGAAAACAAACTTTCCAGAAGAGCAATAGCGAGATTAGTTGCTTAAGCACTAGTGAACATATCTGGAACTAGTACATGGTGATGATGAGCAATCCTTCTCTTAGATAAGTGAAACTAGTCTGAAACTTTCTAAGATCAGGGTAAACTCATAACACACAACTAACCCCTTCATCCACCTGAGTCCTCGATGTGTAAGATATATATATACAAAGTATATATTTGGCCATCTTACCTCAGGATTCTAGTAAGTGTGCTAGAAAAATGGCCCAACATTTTTCATAGAAGGCGGCTAACCCTTCTCACTTACATAGGTTATTTCATCAAGTTTATCTCAACATAAATCACCCTTTAAAAAGGGATATGAAATAATTAAGAGCTTTTATAATAGCTCAACCTCACAAAGGGTATGGTGACTTTCTTCAAGTTCATTATTAATGAACCACCCAAACTCTGGGCTAAGAAGTTATTAAGAATAAATATTCAACCTCATTTATCGGTAAATTCAGTAAGTCCTTCTTACTAGAACCATCCAAATACTTGGATTTGAATTTATTAAGAGTTTAACAAACTCAACCTTTCTGTCGGTAAGTTCATCATTTCCTACCCACTCACTCTGGGTTATGAACTTATTAAGAATAGATATTCATCCAAAAATCAGTAAATTCATCAAGTCTTTCTCACTAAGACCACCCAAAGCATGGGCTATGAATTTATTAAGAACAATTAAGCTCATATTGGGCATGCACATTATTCATCATAGGGATAGGCAGTAGGAATGTGCACTATGAGTCTTTCCATGGTTTCGTTTGACCACATGGAACTTAGATAACTAAGTTGGGTATCCACCATGAATTCCTCAATCAATGGGCTTTAGACCCATCCCCCTGGACGAATCTAGGACCAGCTTCCGACTTAACCCTTTGGTAAATGGATCTACTAGGTTCCTTTCCGACTTCACATACTCTAAAGAGAGCACTCCATTCTTTATTAAGTGTCTAACAGATTCATGTCTTATGCGAATGTGTCTTTTCTTACCATTGTAAGCTTGGTTCTTAGCCACACATATCGCAGCTTGTGAATCACACAATAATGAAACTGGAAGAGTCGGTCTTCCCCACAACGGAATATCCGCTAACAAACTTCTGAGCCACTCGGCTTCATGCCCAGCTAGGTCAAGAGCTATAAACTTTGACTCCATAGTAGAACGAGCAATACAAGTCTACTTTGATGATTTCCACGAGATTGCTGCTCCACCCAAAGTAAAAACATACCCGCTTGTAGAGCTTACCTCATCATTATCAGAAACCCAGTTGGCATCACAATATCCTTCCAGTACCGCAAGAAAGCCAACAAACTCAAGTTTCCAATCCAAAGTACCCTTAAGATACTTCAGTAAGCGTTTAAGAGCAATCCAATGCTCACCACTCGGATTATGAGTATATCTACTCAGTCTACTCACAGCATAAGCAATATCAGGCTGAGTATAGTTCATTAAGAACATTAAGCTTCCGATTAACTTAGCATATTCAGTTTGGGAAACACTACTTCCTTTATTCTTAACTAGATGTATGCTAGGGTCATAAGGAGTTCGAACAGGGACGACATCAAAACTGTCAAATTTTTAGCACTTTATCTATATAATGTGCTTGACATAAAGAAATTCCCTTATCAGTTTTGGTAACTTTGACTCCTAAGATTACATCTACTTCTCCCAAATCTGACATCTCAAACTTAGTGGACAAGAAATTTTTAACTTTGTTAATGGACTCAATGTTAGAACTGAAAATCAACATGTCATCAATATAAAGACTTATGATAACACATTCAGTGTCAAACATCTTCGAATACACACAAGCATCCGAACCATTCACAACAAAACCAAAACTAAGAATAGTTTTATGAAATTTCTCATACCACTGTTTAGGAGCATGCTTAAGTCCATAGAGTGACTTTTTGAGTCTACAGACTTTGCCTTCCATACTAGGTGCTTCAAAACCTAGTGGCTGCTCCATGTAAATCTCCTCATCTAGATCTCCATTCAAGAAAACAGTCTTAACATCCATTTGATGTACCTGTAACTTATGAATAGAGGCTAGTGCAAATAATGCACGAATCGTTGAGATTTTTGTAACGGGAGAATATATATCAAAGTAGTCTAAACCAAACCTTTGAGTGAACCCTTTGACGACTAACCTTGCCTTGTACCGCTGAATCGAACCATCTGGCCTTAGTTTCTTCCGGAAGACCCATTTTTTGGAGATTGGTTTGAATCCCTTAGGCAAGTCAACTAATTCCCAAGTATGGTTAGACATTATCGATTCTAGTTCATCACTAACAACGCTTTTCCAAAAACTAGCATCGATAGATCTTATAGCTTCTTCAAAAGTTTTAGGATCCTCGTCTAACAGAAAAATTTGAGCTATAGGATCTGAAATGGAGTCTAAATCATTTATCTCAGAAATAAAGGAAGTAATAAAGTCTAGTCCAAAAGAGGTTTCAACTCTTTGCCTTTTACTTCTTCTAGGCTCGAAATCAATTTGTTCAGAAGAACTAGCAGGATTACTAGAAGAAGTGGATGGAATATATTCTATTTGTGTTTCAATATTCATTATCAATTCCTTTAAAGGAAAATTATTTTCAAAGAAAACAACATCCCTTGACTCACAAATAGAATAATCTTGTAAAATCATAAATCTGTATGCAGCACTATTCGTAGCATAGCCTATAAACACTGCATCAACAGTTTTAGGTCCGATGGTGAACTTCTTAAAGTCTGGCAAACCCACTTTGGCCAGACACCCCCACACTTTCAGGTATTGTAAATTAAGAGCGTATCCTTTCCACAATTCATATGGGGTAGAATCTAATTTCTTATGAGGAACTCGGTTCAAGATATGAGTTACCGATAGAATGGCTTTCCCCCACATGTTATCAGATAACCCTGAACTTATTAGTAAAGAATTCATCATCTCTTTTAAAGTTATATTTTTCCTTTTGGCTATACCATTATGTTAAGGAAAATAGGGGCTGAAGTTTCATGAATTATGCCATTCTTTTCACAAATATCTTTTAAGAAATTAGATCCATATTCACAACCTCTATCAGATCTAACCCATTTGATTCTCCTATCTAACTGATTTTCTACTTCTGCCTTATAAATAAGAAAGAAGTTTTCAGCTTCATCTTTAGTTCTTAGGAGATAAACTTTTGTATATCTTGAATAATCATCTACAAAAGTTATGTAGTAGTGTTTTCCTCATTTACTTTCAGTGTTTCTAAAATCTGCTAGATCAATATGAATGAGTTCTAACAGTTCAATCTTTCTATTAGAAACAGTCTTAAAGTGAGGTCTAGTATGCTTAGCTTCTACACAAATCTCACATTTGTTAAAGCTAGTTGTGTCTAGTTTAGGCAGAACATTCATATTCATTAATTTCTTTAAAGCACGAATATTCACATGTCCTAATCTAGCATGCCACATATCAATGGATTCAACAATATAAGCAGAAGTTGTAGCTTTATTTTCATTAAATTGAGTTTCTATGACAAATAAACCATTGGTTAAAAACCCTTTCCCTACATAATCACCATTTCGAGAAAGTACAAGTTTATCTACCTCAAAAACTAACTTAATGCCTGCCTTATTCAGAAGCCCGCCATTTATCAAATTTTTACTCAAGGAAGGTACATACAGAACATTATTTAAAGCTAGAGTTTTACCAGAAGTCAGCTTGAGTAAAACCTTGCCTTTGCCTAGCACTTCAGAACTGCTAGAGTTCCCCATGTACACACGTTCACCAGTGTTCCCATCCTCGAACTCGGTGAAAAACTCTTTCCTTGAGCAGAAATGCTTCGAAGCGCCAGTGTCAACTACCCATTCTGAACTGTTCTCCACCAGATTAACTTCTGAGACCACCGCAGCAATGATCTCATCATCTTATTCTACAACGTGCATCTGTGGCTTGTTGTCATTCTGGCGGTCTGAGCGGTGTTGGCATTGGTAAGCTTTGTGGCCGGGTAAACCGCATACATAACACTTGAATGTCTTCCCTTCCGGTTTGGCCTTTCCTGACTTCTTGAAGTTGATAGCCTTTTGTGGTTTCGTTTTAGAGTCTTGATTCCCACGTTTCATGATCTTCTTGAATTTAGACTCAACCAAGTTAGCTTTAAAAGATAAATTACTCATAGAATTAGTAAGCTTATCTTTTAAACGGTTGGCTTCTTCAATCTTCATATGGCCCATAAGTTCTTCAAGCGAAATGTCTCTCTTCTTATGCTTAAGAGAGTTGCGGTAGTCGGACCAGGACTTGGGCAGCTTCTCAATGAGTACATTGGCTTGCAGTACCTCATACATTTGCATCCCTTCAACGATGATGTCAGCGACTAAGTTCTCATAGTCATGGACTTGATCCATTATAGGCTTGTCGTCTGTTATCTGGAATTTGAGCTATTCGCCAACAACATACTTCTTGATGCCCACATCGTCTGCACCATACTTTTTGTCGAGAGTGTCTCATATTGCCTTGGCACTCATTTCTCTAAGGAACATATCAAATAGTTTATTTGACATGTGGCTGAGCAGGTGTCCTCGCACCATCTTGTTGTCTTTCTCGTATTTCTCATAGATAGCGAGAGCGGCGACGACAGTTGCTAAGGCATCATCATTGAGGACCACATCCGCATCATTACCGGCAGCTGGGGTTGGCGGCATGGTAGGTGGTGGCTTGAGCAGCACGTAGTCAAGATCAAGCTGCTCGAAGAATATTAGGATTCTTTGGGACCACCTTCTATAATTCTTTCCAAAACCAAGCCTGATTTGCTATATTCTTAGTAATTTCTCTTGGATCAGATGATGGCTTTTCATTGAAAGGGGTCTCAATTCCACTTCCTTTGACCACAAAACTCTTTTTCAATTAAGAGTTTTTCCTTGCAATTCCGATTTTAGTCGTTCCCTTACCTCTTCAAGAAAATCCTCCATACTAGCTCTCTCTTGGAAAGTGCTAGGTGAAGAGGTCCATGATTCTTCATGATCATAAATCCCATCAGGTCCAGGCTTCAAGATTACTATTCTTGTGGGAGCAGCATCTGACTTCTCATTGTAGTCCGTCGTGGAAGGTACACAAAAATCTTTATTTATGCTTCGCCTTAACAGTTATTTTCCGGGTTGTAAAGAGTTCTGATTTATACCTCTGATGGTGAAAGTTCAAGTTCAACCCTTTTTATTGTAGTACAAGCCTCTTGGATTCCAAAAGCTTCTCATGCATCGCTTGTACTGAATCCACATAATGTGTCTTCCTTTCGTTGTTCGATTGCTCTCGAGTGAATTGATGATTTGAAATGCTTCCAACATCAACAACCTTTGTACATTCCCTAAGCCTGGCACTTGCCATGCCTCGAATTCTTTCTTAAACCTTTGCAATTCTTCCTCCTGAGGATGTTCCCGATGCCTAGGCTTTCTGAACTTAAGGTCGGTGTTCCATATCTCAGCATCTCTGTCTCTTGTACTGTATACAGAGTCAACTTCCATTTGTTTCAAGAAATATGAGTTAGATCCCTTGACATTTTTCTCCCTTCCAGAAAGCTCGACTCGCCGGTTATCACTCTTCTTCGTAACCAATTGAGCTACAGATTTTATATCAGATGGCAACAGATCCATCCCCATTAATCTGGCAACAATACTAGGTGAATTGTGTCTGGAGTTGTATTGTTTGGACATCTCCTCACATAGCAATTTCTTCATTAAAGCCTCGGTTTGATAATAGTTCCTCGCCGACCAGTCTTCTTCCACTTGATAAGAGTTCTGAAAATTCAAGTGAATTGGAGGGAGAGACACATGAAAAATGCAACACAAAGAACATAGTCTCAAATATTAAAAAATGAATCAGAAGAAACTTATTGGCAGATCTCCTGCAACATAATAGCTCCGAGAAGGGTCTAACTACAGCTCCAAGCTATTTCGCGAAGCTTTCAGGACTTCATAGCAGCAAAACAACAACATTATTGTATAGGACTATAGAATTCGAGAGTGACTTTTTCCCGACACGTAAAGAAGCTGATAACGCTTACCGTCGATATGTTTCTTCTTTGCAAGTATTTTTCTGGCCATGCTGCCTTGATGGAAGTCAAAAAGATTAAATATGCCTCCCATGCAGCCACTGGATCTACCAAATCATTTTGTTCACACAAAATCTACTTCTTATCACTACTAAAAGTCACACACTTGACTTGTGTCCTGTAAAGCCACATATGAAACAACATATTGATTATCATTCCTCATCAGATGAATCGACCGCAGGCTGCAGCATGGGGATGCATTGAAAGGTGTTTTGTTCTTCATTGAATTCTAGTATATTTCAACCAACATAATCTCCTAAGAATTCAGTATCAAGATACCTTCATATAAAGATTTCAGACATTAATTTTGTAGAACAAATGACATAGGCACTGGCAAATAAATAAAGCTGTGTTCTGTAAGAGATGCAAGTTGCATTATTGACCTCATAGAAAGGCAACCAATGGAAGAGTATTTTTCTTTCTAATCAAATTTTGCAACCAAGCAAGCAAATGTGCACATCCAACAACATTTGCTTCATGTTCTCCCCAAAACCTTATCCAAAAACCTAGACTAAAAGTAACAAGCTTCCTCGATTATGTTAGAAGAAGTCTTTGAAGTTTTAACTGAAATTAATAGGTAAATTGAATTTGGTGAGACTAAACGGTGAGCTATAAGTTTTGATGCAGGTGTGTAGGTTGAAGGGGAAGAGGGACCAGTGGACCCCCACACCCGCCCCAATCACATCATTCATTTATTTATTCATAAAATCATAATCACTCCCATCAAAACAAAATGGTATTCCATATGGCTACGCTACACTGTACCGAACCTCTCTACTCTCAAGCAGATGGGTTTGTATAGGATTCAGACAAGAGAGTAGGCTTAGCTAGAGGCGTGCAAAAAAATCCGATCTGACCGATCCGATCCGTTGATCTGATCTGAAAATTCGGATATCCGATTCGTTTTTCAATTTTCGGATAGTTCGGATCGGGTATCCGAATTTTTTTTTGAATTTTCGGATCGGATACGGATCGGTCAAAATCCAATTTTGGATTATCCGAAAACCTAAAAAAATTGGGCTTTATTATTAGCCCAAAGCTGTTTGGGCTTGTTCTGCCATTTCCTTTTACTTCTCGCCCAACAATATCATTGCCGATTATTCTGCCTTCAACAACTGATTCATGGTTTGATTCATCTGTAAACAGAACGTCTGGGTTTTTATATTTTGAAGATAAGAGGCTAACTCTTACAACATAAAAAAAATGTTCATATTTACTGCAGGAGACAGTGATGGTATCTTCCCCAACATAATTCCCAAAACCAGCTGTTGGGGGCATTTATTATTATAGTTAAGCAACCTTTTACATATATGGAGAAGAAATAAATGTCCTTAATGATTACACTATAGACTTTTAAATTTCAAAGTTTTGAAATCAATCTGTACTAACTCATTAATTTCTCTATCTTATGATGCTTTTATTATAAACTTTGTTCATCTGATTGTTTTGGTCTAATGTTCTTTTCCCCTATCTAATTGTTGAATAGATGAGTAAAATTTTAGCATCGTTTATTAAGGAATAGTATTGTATTACTGGCATTGTCTGGTGAGAAAACTGGTCTTATACACCCCTCGACGTGAACTCCCTGATCAAGTGTCGCTTCCTTCATTTATGCATCAACTGTAGACTAAGATTTACAGCGAGTTTTTAAGACCGCCGTGTTAACTTCGTAATAGCCATACCATTTGGATGCGTAGGGTATTTTAGTATAAGATTGTGAATAACAATGGGATAATTTACGCGCTTAATATCTAAATTATCAGTTTAGTACTTAAAATTTTAATTTTATGTTGATTAATGCTTTTATTATGTTATTTTTTTCGAATTCGGATCCGGATATCCGATCCGAAATTTCGGATATCCGAATTTTTCGGATCGGAAACGGATCATTACTTTAGGTATCCGAAATTTTTGGATATCCGAAAATTTAGATCGGATAATATCCGATATCCGATAATGAACACCCCTATGCTTAGCTCATATATGTCATGTTGTTATGTTCTCCCTCCAATTTGCGCCATTTTACAAGGGTCTCACTAACTCCTTCACTGGCATTGCAATGCACGTCAAGAAGTTTTCGAAAGTCCAATATCTTTAGGATGGTTACAGTCCATTGATATGGTCATCAATTAACGTACGTAATTTATTAAAGTCATGTTTATTATCTTACAAATATATATATATATATATATATATATATATATGTTCGTCTATAAATAATCATCTTCTTCTTTCCTTCAGTTTCTCTCTGCATAGTATATTTCACTAAAATCATAGTTTATAATTTTCTATCCAAACCAAAAGAGATAAACTGACAACAACCATCACAACTACCGACAACAGAACTAAATCTAACATTTGAGTGTATTAGAGGGACTAAAGGCAAAAATTGGCCTCAAAGATTTTATCCTATTTGGTTGTCGTATTCTTACAGGCTTACAGAATGAGGAATATTGTGTACATTCATCTTCATCGCCATGTGCGGGTTAGACTTTAGAGCTCCCTTTTTCTGACTTTGATCATTACTTCTTCTCTTCATTCAAATTCAATCCTTGGTTTAGTATAACATATACCAAAGTAAGTAATCAATCAATTCATACATCCTTGTGAAATAAGCTTTCCCTGGCGTAAAGATTCATTTATAATTAATCAAGTTGATGAACCCAAGTCATTCTCAATCAAATCCGCACTATTAAAGATATTAAATGCGATTTTTAACATGAATTTTTTAAAAGAGGGAATGCATGGGATGTGAGTTTGTTTGTGTGAGGAGGAAATATAAGTGCAGGTAGAGACACAATATTTTATATTAAAAATACATTTTTAAAAAATATATATATTAAAAATATAAAAATATAAAATTAAACTATTGATATAATATTTAAGAATATTAAAAATTATATAAAAATTTTAAAAAATACAATCACTGCTTATGTGAAAAAAAGGAAGGATAAAGCTTACAAAGGTAGAAGAGGAGATGATGTGCGTGGGAGGAATCTCTTGTAGGGTTGTAAATGAGACGAGACAGATCGTGAGTTATTCGAGATCGACTCGATCAAGACTCGATAAATACTTGGATCGAATATACTCGACTCGAGCTCGACTCGAGTTTTTAACGAGCTAAAGCGAGCTACTCGATATTTGACTCGAAAAACTCGTGAGCATCTCGAAAAAAATGTTATATTATAATTTTAGATTTTTTAAAATTACATTATTAAAAATATATTAAAAATACACTATTGATAATTATAAAATTTTAAAAATATATTAAAAATTCTATAATACAACTACCCTCAAATTTTAATTTTTTTAATTAACCAGCTCAAGTTCAATTGTTACATTGTATATTACCAAAAGAAAAATAAAAGTTCATTTAATTAAGCACATGTTAGATTACACGTGTTTGGTTTTTTATTTCTTTTTTAACTTTTTACTGCACAAGTACTTGACAACGTAGAAAAATAAAATAAAAAATAAGAAAAAACAGCCAAACAATAGAAAAATTAAAAATAGTTAAAAATTATTTTTGAATAAATATTCTTATATTTATTTTAAATTAATAACAAAATTATTTATCTAATGACAAATATTTAATATATTTCTAATGATAATATTTTTAATAAATAATTTTTTAAATTGTTGTTATATTTTGAGGTTTCGGGTTCAAATATAATAAATATCAAGGGTTTAAGCATTTAATAACAAGATATTATATTGTACTTACCTCATAAATCGATACAAAGTCGATTAATTAATGTCTTTGTAATGAACCTTGAATCCTAAACTTTAAACCTTAAACCCTAAACTTAGAACCCTAAACTTTGTAACACAATCGGAGCGAGTATTGTGTGGTCAATTGGGAATGGTAACACAATCCACCCCTTTTATAACCCTTGGATAACTTCCCTTGGTCTCTTATGCAACCACGTGAAGAGCCTGAATCAAAACTTGGTTCTGGCCACCTTTGAAGAACTAACTGACAACAATGGAAATTGGAATTTCTCCAAACTATCAACATATTCTACGAGAGACAATCTCCCATATCGTCGAATAAGATGTCTCGATGCTTCGGACTCGGATAATCAACCCTACTGGGGCACTAGCATCACACCTTTGAACAAGACTGGCTTATAGCTACTTAACCGCTCATACTTGGGATGATAATCTCCCGATCTGGAGTTCAATATGGGTGTTAACCCTACCCCAAAGCTTTAACTCTTCCTGTATTTCTTACCTGATTTGCATCTTTCCAAAGATGTGTCGGATTCGGGAGTCGATTACAGTCAATGAAGGATTATCACACTTGAACTGCCCTTTCAGTACTACGCAATTTTCAGTTGTCTTAAATTAAGAAAATTATAATTTAAAATTAAAAGGTAAAAATACGATCCCAATTAGTTACCTTAGATAGTTTTAAAGGTGTACCTTAAGAGAGTCAAGAACGTGTTAGATAAAAAATGAAAATAAAAAAACGACCGAAATAAAGGAATAAAAAAAGAGTGAAGATAAAAATGAATATGATAAGAAAAATAAAATGAAAAAATGATATAATATACATAACAAACAAGTAAATAAAAAAAATAAGAAAATAAAAATAAATAAAACAAATGTAAAGATTAAAAAAAGATAAGAAATAAAAGTAAAAATGAAATAGAGGAAAAAAAATAAAAGGTAAATAGAAATAGATAAAATAGAATAAAAAACAGTAAGTAAAGAGTATAAGAGAAAAAAAAATAGAAGGTATAAGAATAATAAAAATATGTATATGTAAAAATAAATATAATATTGCAACAATAAAAAATAAATGAATATAATATATATATATATATATATAATACATATATAAAAATA